AGCAAGTCGACGTCTGAAGTGGCCCCACACCCAGTGCATGGCACAGGTGGGTCCCCAGTACGTGGACTCTCACTGAGGAAGGGGTCTTTTGTCCCATGGGTAACTGGCTAATGATCCCATGGGGATATCCCAGCACCGACTCAGAGCTAAGGAGGATAAGGCTCCTCTTTGTGGGAGGAAGGCACTTTTGGAGGTGGGTGGGGTCACTGTGGATGGCGACATTACTGAGACTCACGAGGGACACGCCCTAGTTTCCTGTGTATGTTGTCTTCAACGTTCACGGAGGTGAAGTGGACAGTAAGACCCTCCCCGTTTTATAGGTGAGGGAAAGGCACTCGGGTGACGAAGGAAGTTTCCAGGGGGCAGTAGGATTTGCACCTGCCGGCCTCCAGGGACACCTACATCTTGCGGGAGGGGATTCTGGTGTCCCGTGAGAGCTGTGTGGGCCCAGCTGGGCCATGCCTGGCTCCTCCTCTGGGCTTCCCTGCCCCGCCCTCACCCTCCTCTGCCTTCCCCTTCCTTTCTTACAGGTGCTGAGGGTCACACAGGTGGGACTGAGGGTGCTGGAGCAGGGACCAGTGTTTGCCCGTCGCCTTCAGGTGCCCCCGGCAGTGGACACATCTAGATGGGTCTCCTTCTCTGCTCTCCCCATTTGTGGCTACACCACGGTCCCAGGCAAGGCTGAGGGGCACTGAAGTGGCCTCCCCATCCTCCTCCTCCTCCTCTTCTTCCTCCTCCCTCCCCACACTCCCCCAACCACAGAGTTTGTCCTCAGATCCATCACTCCCACTACTCGCCTCAGCCCCATCCTGCAGGGATGCAGCTCACCTGTCAGCTGCATCTGGCTGGTTCAGCCAATGGGAGCCCCTGGTGGGAGATTGAGGGCGGGAAAAGGAGAGAAGCCCGGATATCTCTCCCTCTCAGACTCTCAGGCAGCAAGTGCCTCCCCTGTGGTTCCAGCCCCCTGGGCAGCCTCGCCTCCGAAGCCCCAGCTTCCACAGGGACTCTGCAGTAGCTCTGGCGCGGGCTCTGCTGCCACCTCCTCTCTGGGTTGTCCCTCTGGCCCCATGGGTCACAGCCAGCAGCCGTGGCCACTGCCTGTTCACGCTCCCATCTGAGCTGCGTCCCCTACTTGGCCTCGCGGCAGTTCCATCACTCAGGTGCCCAATTCCCTGAGTTATGCTTCTGGGATATTTGGAGTGGCGTTTGTTCCCTGACTGCACCCTGCAGCGCAAGGCGACGCAGGCTCCGCGTTCCCAGCCCACCTGCAGCGAGGACTCAGACCCTGTAGACAAGCAATTCCAGAAACCCCGGCTGCCCCATGTAGCCCTCACACCAGGCCTCTGCTTTTCTCTGGACACTCACGCCCTGGCCTTGCCTCCATGTCTGTAAGGGGAAGCGAGGCAGGTGCCTGGGCCAGGCCAGGCAGGAAGCCGGGCTCTGAGCCTGGCCGACAGATAGCCAGGCTGCCGCACGTGAGCTGTTGCTTGGTGACACAGCAGTGAAGAACAGGGAGCGGAGAAGGCGGGGGACAGTGCCTCCTTGGCTCTCTCCCTGTTTCTGGGGCCAATCCTTTCTGCATCTCCTTCCTGGTGGTTCCCCTGTGTCTGGAGCGGGCCACCTGGCTGCAGGAGCCCCTTAAGGAAGTGGGCATCACAGCGGGATGGAGGTCCTTGCCCCCTGGACACAACAGGCATGGCCCCGGTACATGGGCTTCCTTGAGGGAGACAGTTGTTAGTGGAAATGGCCCCTTGCAGACGGTGCTTGGGAGCCCCTTCAACTCACGTGGTCTAAAGAAGAAAATAATTAACCTCGCCTGTTGGGGATCGCCTGGCTCCCCACATCCCTCGCCTAGGAGGCTTGGTTCCCAGCAGAGCGTGGGATTGGAAAGTAGGGGAGAAGGGGAGCCGTTTATCCCCGCATCAGTGTTCCCCAGCAGGATTAAACCCGCCCCAGTCGTAAAGAGTTTACAAACTCCGCACAAAGATAATAACTTCCCGGTCACGGGCGGGGCGGGAATGCGTGTTTCCAATCAGCTGAGAATGAGACTCAAATGGTAGGTTTTATTTCGCTTTAATCCGCCTGTGGGTTCACGTTCAAGGTAAGAGGAATCACAGCCCTGCAACGTGAGGGCACCCGTGAGACTCTGCATCTCCTCTTACAGGCGGAGGAGCTGGGCTTACTCACTCCCCCCCGGGGAAGCTCTGAGGACCCTGTGTGGCCGGAAGACCTGCCACCCTTTACTGGGCGATGGGGACACCAGCCGGGGCCGGATGTGTGGGGTGCAGGCGGAGAGAGAGGAAGCAGAGCAGAGTTGAGAGCGAGTCGTGCAGCGGATGGGATCCCAGCCCGCAGCCCATGGCAATGCGTGCTGCAGGGGAAAATGGAGGCGGTCCACACTCCGCGGTGCTCTTGGCTTCTGCCTGCCTCTCTGCTGATGGCAGCATGGTGGCTCGGTGGGCAGCTGTGCAAAGGATCAGCTCTCAGTTCCTATCCCAGCTCCCTGGGAGACCTAGAACCAGCCCCGCTACTAAGTCTTGTTTGACACATCGTAACGTGAATGCCCAGTTTCCTGGGTCCTTGCTGAAGCCTTGAACGCCACGCCTTGTTCTACAGAACTCAGTGCCTCAGGTTCAGCATTGCCCTCACCCAGCCTTTGCCTGAAGATGCAGACGTCTCGGGGTGACTTCCCAGCCTGCTGTGGCCGCAGCAGGTCTGATATGTGTGGTCCAGGAGAGCGGTCCACCAGATCCCACGGGAACTGGTGGGTAGCAGGCCCAGACCAATGCAGCCAGCCAGAGCCCTCGCTGCCACTGCTCAGAGCCCCTCGCAAACTCTGCCGGAGGTGCCCACGCCCTGTATGCCCTGGTTGGTGGCTGAGAGCTGTCACTGTGTGACACAGACCCTTGTCATGTCCATCTGCCGTCCTGAGCAGTCACCACCCAGAATCCCCAAGCCCTGGGGTTCTGCTTGCGTTTGGGATTTCCAGGCTCAAAACCTAGGAAGGAGCACCAGCCCCGTTCTCCCCAACTGGCACCGTGGGTGGCCCGCATGCAGGGCTGCAGGAGGCAGAGACAGCCACTTCTGCTGACTGCCCACTGCTTCCTGACCCTGTGGCCCACTTGGCCAGCTGTCCTCCCATCCCTTCTCATCATGCCTGGCCTGGAAGCCCGGCTCAGACCTTGGCACCCAAGGGGACTGCGGCCTAGACCAGCAGTTCCCATCTGGTTGTCCACCTGTCCTCCACCCAGCTCCCGGTGGACCCCAGGAATCCACCCAGCTGCGGCCCCATCTGCGTGCAGTGCAAGGTCTTGCTGAGGAAATGGACCCGTGATGTCTGGTCCTGGAGGCTGACGTCCCTCACGGGGCCACCCTGGGCCACGAGATTCCTTCCTCCAGGCTGGGGCAGGCTGCACTGCCCCGTCTGCCACTGTTTCCTCCTGGCTGCTTCTCGGCCAGAGAAGGCACAGGGGGTGTGTTCGAACTTCCCAGACAGTGTCTCAGACAACTGTGGTGGTCTGGGGTCTGCCTGAATGCAGTTGACGAGTGTGTGTGTGCGTGTGTAAATATGTGCACCTGCACATGGATGAACCGAATCCATGGGCCTGCACGCATTCACACCATCCCACTGACCTGGGCAATGAGAGCTGGGCTTACTGAGCACCTACTGTATACTGGGGATGACAAAAGGTACTTTCCACGCAGTCGCAGTGACTCTCAGGGGGTGGGTGCCCTCTCCCCGCTGCTTGAAGAAACAGGCAGACTGAGTTGAGGGTCCAAGATCACAGTAGAGTAAGAAGGGGAGCAGCAGCTGGGAGCCGTCACGGGGTTCCTCTGTGTGTGTGTGTGTCTGTGCACACGCGTGTGTGTGGGAGCTGAGAGCATGCAGGGACCAGAGCGGTGCTGAGAAGGAGTCACTCACATGCCAGGGCTGTCCAGGCAGGCAAAGGAAAGTGGTGTCGGGTGTGTAGACCAGGGCCTGAGCCAAACCCATAATCCAGCTGCCAGGAGGGGTGGGGACCCGGAGCTGAGGATTTAATTTTTTTTTTTTTTTTTTTTTTTGACAGGCAGAGTTGACAGTGAGAGAGAGAGACAGAGAGAAAGGTCTTCCTTTGCCGTTGGTTCACCCTCCAATGGCCGCCACGGCCGGCGCACTGCGGCCGGCGCACCGCGCTGATCCGATGGCAGGAGCTAGGTACTTATCCTGGTCTCCCATGGGGTGCAGGGCTCAAGCACTTGGGCCATCCTCCACTGCACTCCCTGGCCACAGCAGAGAGCTGGCCTGGAAGAAGGGCAACCGGGACAGAATCCGGTGCCCCGACCGGGACTAGAACCCGGTGTGCTGGCGCCGCAAGGTGGAGGATTAGCCTAGTGAGCCACGGTGCCGGCCGGAGCTGAGGATTTAAATGGGGTTGGACTGGGGATGAGTGGGACCTGGGCTGGGCAGTCCCCTCCTGTCTTGAAAACGTGGTGTGAGGAAAGGTGTGAGCATCCCAGGAAGGGTTCGTGAGCCCGCCTCAGTGTGTGGATGCCTGCCAGCGGGTCTGGGATCGTGGCAACCACCAGGGTTACAAGGACACCTGCCTCTAGCTCACCCTCACTGGCTCCCGGGCTGGCCTGGCAGGTGGTTGCTGGCACTCTGCTCCCACCGTGTGCTGATGCTCTGTGGCCTGCCTGGCTCCCTCCCAGTCCCTTTCCTGGAAGGACTACTCCATTGGGAGAACTCAAGCCCAACCCCTCTCCTGAAGACCTCTGCCAAAACGGGTCCAGCAGTGCCGGCGAGGAGGGGATGGTGAGGAAGGGGGGGCGGGGTGACAATGACCCGCAGGCCCGGCTCCCAGCTCCCATCCACAGAAGCCCTGAGCTCTGCTGTGTGCCTTCCAGAAACGTGAGCGTTACCTTCCGGATTTCCTCCCGCACCTCCTCCAGCTTTCCCGCCCCTGCCTCTGTGTGACTGCGCGGCCCAGGTGGGCCTGGAGAATCCTCCGGAGCTTGCCAGGTTCATGCAGGCTTGCAGTTTATTAGACACAGGGTCCCCTAAGCCCCGAGTGCCTGTGGGTATTGGAGAGCCCAGGCAACTCGGAGCTGCCACAATTGATCCATGTGCACCCGCAACCCCAGGGTAACCTCAGACTCTTGCCCTCAGGCAGCCTGCGAGATGAGCAACAGAAAGTCATTCCTAGTGAGACAGGGGAGGCTCCGGAAGCCCGTGGGGCCCCTAAGACGCACCAAGTTGCTGGTACCACCACAGCTCACAGCAGGGGGCATCTTTCCTGGTCAGTGCTGGCACAGCCAGCCAGTTCATTAGGAGCAAGCTGGCTGTGGCCCGGGTGTCACCCTCCACCGTGCTGCTCAGAGAGTTCAAAGCCTGTTTCCGCCAGGCGTCACTGTCCGCAGCTCGGCTTAGCAGAGGGCAGCATCCAGGGGTTCTCTCCAGGGCTGGAGTTGAGCCCCGCCTCCTGGGCATGGCTGGGAAGGGCCGTGGGGAAAGTGCAGGTGACCTGTGGCCCCCGGCCCTGGGGCAGGCTGCTCCTGGTGGGTGCTCTCCCATTCGTCGCTCTCCTCGGCCTTCGGCCTGCACACCAGGGGCGATGGGCTGAGGCTGAAGCAGCAGGTGAAGGCCTCCAGGGAGGGGCCGCCCTCCACGTGGAGCAGCATCTGGACGCCGGAGAAGGAGACCCAGCTGACGGGGCTCAGGGGGACCTGTTCCAGGAACCTCAGCGTCAGCCCGTTCACCCACACGCGGCCCCTGCGGCTCAGCACCTTGAGGCAGAAGACCAGCAGGGTGCCGCCCTTCTCCAGGTAGGGCTCCAGGGACAGGTGTCGGCGGGAGAGGTGGGGCAGCTGCAGCTGGAGGTGGGCGTCCCGCCCCCGCCCCACCAGCAGGGGGCTGGTGTCGTGCTGTAGCTGGGGCGGGACGCTGGCAGAGGTGTGCGGGCCCAGGGAGGGGTGGTATAGGCTCACACGCAGGACGGTGAGGGGCCTCTCCATGGATGAGAACCTGATGGAAAACAGACACGCAGACTTGGCTGGAGCCAGATGCATCCCTGCGACTCCTCGAGCCCAGACACGCACGCTGGACTCCGGGACCCTGGCCACGTGCAGCCAAACGGAGCCTGTGCCCCTGGATCCAACCACCCTGCACAAGCCAGGATGGAGGTGTGGCGGAACTGCCGTTTTCCGTGTGCACGCAGGACTGTGCGAGAGATGAGGTGTACCAGCTTGTGGTCCGGGGGCTGATTGGGCACTTGGGAACAACCTGGCGCCGCCCTATGGGAAGGGACAGGTAGACAGACAGGCCACGCCGTCCTTGTATCTGACAGTCACCTAGCAAACCCTTGCTGAGGACTTGGAGGCAGGCCCCAAGCCAGCTGCTGGGGAGAAGCAGAGATGATGGGAGCGGAGTCCTCTCTGTCCAGAGCGCCCAGCTGGAGGAGGAGATGGAAGCATCCAGCATTGGAAGCCATGGAGGGACATGGGAGAGAGAAGCCGCGTGGGTCCTGGGAAAGGACCACCCACACGCGTGGCCTGAGGACCCCCAGCATGTGCCAAGTGCTTGCCCTGGCCCAGGCACTGATCCGTGTGCTCACCGACCTGAATGGGGCGAGCAGCTCCCCTCCCTGTCCCCACCAGCTGGGGCAGAAACAGAGCTTGATGAAGAGGGTGGAGGGGGCCCAGAGCTGTCACACGCAGTAGTGAGGGTGGCTGGCCCTGGCGGCTGCGGCAAGAAGTGCTCACACCCACTGTCCCGTCACCCCCGCTCTGGGAACTGTCCTTGAGAGTCTGGTTGGAGACATGGGAAGGCCACTTGCAATGGTCAGCTTTGCTCCTGCGTGGGTGTGAGGAGCACACATTGTGTGTGGCCACCACCCACACTGGTGATGCACCTCCTGGCACCGGGCTTCGCTCACGTCGTGGTCTCTGCTAAGAAGGCGTCTTTCGGGGCCAGGGTTAAGCTGCTCCCTGTGAGGCCAGCGTCCCATATGAACACTGGTTCCATTCCTGGCTGCTCCACTTTTGATTCAGCTCCCTACTAGTGCACCTGGGAAAGTAATGCTGATGGCCCCAGGGCTTGGGTGCCTGCCACCCACATAGGAGACCTGGATGGAGTTCCAGGCACCTGGTTTCAGTCAGGCCCAACGGGGATCATTGTAACCATTTGGGGAACGAACAAGCAGATGGAAGATCTCTCTCTTCCCTCTCTCTATGTAACTCGACTTTCAAATAAATAAATCCTTTATATAAAAAGAAGGTATCTTTCATTCCAAACTGTGTCCAAATATCGCTCCCCTTTCAAGGCCAGGTTCAGATGTTCCCTGTTCTATGAAGCTCTTTTCCTTGGGGGAGGTGACCTCTCCCTGCCCTCTACCTCAACAGCAGGGAGAATGCCCCTGGGACGCCTGGCCAGCCCCGCCTCCTGCTTCAGTCCATTCTTGCAACACCTGTGTGAGCTCTGTGGGCCCCAGTCCTGTCTTGCTTGAGCTCCTCTCTTGCATCTGCAAAGCCTCCTGAGGGCAGCAGGGGGGTGCGGGTGGCCAGGCTGTGAGGCCATCCCTGCCCCGCAGAGCTCGCACCTGGTCCAGCAGGTGTCCAGGGCACACCTGGTGTGTGGTTAAATGGGAGGAAGACCACATGGGGTGAATTCAAAGCCAGAGACAGCACAGGTGGCAGCCTGGTCCCTAGAGGCTGCGAGATGGGGCCTGGAGCAGACGGACAGACTCGGTGTCCCTGCAGGCCTCCAGCCCTCTGCCGCCCCGGTTAGCGGGGCCCCCTTCTCCCTGCACACAGACACCCTGGTGGCCTCTGCCGGTATCCGCCTCTGGTCCCAGGGCCTCTCCGGAGGTGTAGGCTACGGGCTGGGCATCTGCACCCTCAGACCCAGCCAGAAACTCAAGAGTTCATGGCCAGACACCCACCCCTGGCCCAGCAACCCTGAAGGAATCCCAGGAAGAAGGCGTCGCTGCTGCGCCGTGTGACGTGCAGAGCTGGCAGCCACCACCCTCCTGGCATCTCCGGGGAGGCCAAAGCTCTGCCTTAAACTTGCGCTGGGAGGAGGCAGCAGGGAGACCTGGAGTGGGCACTGCCAGGAGCCCTCCTCCCACGCCTGCCCTGCTCCTCCCCTCCCTGTCAGTCCCCCTCCCCTTGTCCCCCACCTACCTTACCGTGGAGGCACGTCTGCCTCTCGCTCTGCGCTGGGAGCTCTCGGAGGGAGCCGCGGGCCCCGGACAGGGATGAGAGAGGCTCTCAAGACTTCAGTTCCAGAACGCGATGTATTGGCGCACCCTTCGGCTTTGTTGCTTGGGAAGAGAAGTGAAAGTGACCTTCGCACTGAAGTGCAACCCCGCTGCGTCCCCCACTGAGAGGTGGAGAAATCCCAGCCCGGGTTCCCTCCTAAGAGTGTCACTTCCTCCTGGGTTTCAGCTCTGTCCATCTAGACTATTCCATCCCTGGGGACCTTGAACGTGCACCCAGTGCATCCGCAAAATCGCTCTCCCTCCGTCCCCTGAAGGCGGCACAGCAGCTTGGAGGACAGAGGGTTCCCTCTCTGCCTGGGGCACTGTGAGAGCACTTACTGGCTGGACAGGTTGAACAAGGAAGCCACTGGCAAAGTGGCAGCCCCCTGAGTGTCTCACGGCAGGAGGACAGCAGGGTGCCCGGCTCATGCACCTGCCCCTCCTGGCTCTGCTGGCCGCATGCCCAGCCCTGCGGTCTCTGGCTGCCCTAGAAGTGACTGAGGGTTAGGAGGGCGCCGTCTCCTCCCTCCCCCCCCAGTACAGCTTCCTAGTCCGCCAGTCTGTCACTCGTTACCTCCCTTACCCGCCAGCCTGCCATGATGACAAGGACAGGTGCCTGTGTTCCACACGGGGCAGGAAAGGCCCTAGGAGGGGAGGGCTCAGCGCGAGTCATCTGCATAACTTTTGCTCTTCCTGCCATCAAGCCCTGGTGTCCTGGAGCCTGTGGGAGAGCCCGCAGGTGAGAGGCTCAGCCCAGGCCACCTCCGTCAGCCCGCAGGTGCCTCTCTGATGTGCCTCAGGAGAGCTGGGTGCTCTTGGGTGCTGCGCAGCCCCCAGCCTGCTGCTTCTGCTCCGAGAACGGAGGTCCTCCCCGTTCTGGGCAACAAAAGCCACAGAGCAGGATGATTTCTGCAGAGAGCAACCAAAAGGTAATCGAAGCACCACAAACTGGGCACAAAAGTCCATTGTCTGTCATTTCTGGAGCCTGGAAAACCAAGGTTAGGACTCCCACGCGGGTGGTTCCGTGGACTCCCACGCGACATGAGAGACTCCTTGGCCCTCTCCTGCAGCTCCCGGGCGAGCTGCCCTCTGTGGCCCAATGCCAGCTTTTGTTCTCACGTGGCGCTGTCCGCGTTTTACAAAGGCTCCAAAGCAGGGCGCACCTCAACGGCCTCATGTTCGCTCCACTGTCTCTGTGAAGAGCCCATCGTCCAGTACGGAGACATCCTGGGGAAGCGGGGCTCCCGGAACATGCATTCTGGTGGAACACAGTCCAGCCATGGCAGCTGGGAAGCAGCACAAGGAATTTCTCCGGAATGAAGGTGTAGTGGTGATGAGTGTGTGGAGAGAGAGAGCGGTATCCCAGTGTGAGCTTATGCTCTGTGCATTGTACTTGGTGGAAGCTACACAGACTGTCACCGCCCCAGAGCACCCTGGCTGAGCCACAGGGGGCCGCTCATGTTCCAGGGCCTCTCCTCCCATGGGTCTCCCCAGCCCAAAGACCAGCTGGCCTAGCAAGCGTCCCCAGCCATGGCCAAGGGCCTCCTCCTCAGACATCCCAGGCACAGACCTCAGGGATGCTTAGACACTCCCACCCGCCAGCAGGGCAGGGGCCTGGCAGAGGGCTTTTCCCCAGCTATGTGACTACAGGTAAGTCCTCTGGGCCTTGATGTTTCCTGGGGGTGGGGCACCGCACCCCACTCCCTGCTGCAGCTGTGCCCCAGACAGGGAAGTGAGCGGGCAGAGGAGACGTGCATGCGGTCCTCATGCCCTCAGTAACTTGGGTCAGAGTCCTTCCCTCAGGAGGGGGAACTGAAACCAGGGAGCTCACAGCTTCTTACGGAAGCCAGGAGGGACTCCGGAGGCTGTGGGGACAGGGATGGCAGGCGCTGGCTGTAGGTCCCAAGATGGAGAGTGGCAGGCTGGAGTGGGGGAGGGGAAGTGCAGCCGGATCAGGGGGTCCCTGCTCAGTGAGGAAGCCCCTCCCCAGCCCACAAGGCTGCTCCGTGGAGACCCCAGCCTCGCAGACATCCCCTACTCCCAGGTCTTTCTACAGAGGCCCTCAAGCAAGTGACACAGTCTCTCTGAACCTCAGCTTCCTGACTTGTAAAACGGGGACGATTTGCAATCACTGCTGGGGCTAAACAAGATATGTGATGAGAGCTACTTCCCGTAGAGTCCTTGTCAGGGGCAGGGGAAGGAGACAAACAGCCTGCATGCACCCTGAATTCTTAGGGGGACCCCTTTCCTCTGAAGACAAGCATAGGCTTGGGGTGGAGCCCCTGACGTACACGGTTCCCCTACATTGCATTTGAAATGATAGCCGAGTGGCATGGATGCTCTTGGAGGGACCTCCTGCTGGGACCCATGCCCCTGGCATTGGGGAAGGCTACCCACACTACGGATGGGGAAACAGAGGCTCGGAACCGCCTGGCGACTCGCCCAAGGGAGCTGTCCGAAGCAGGATTTGAACCCAGTCTGTGGGACTCCTGGTCACACCTCCCAGCCTCTCTGCCTGGTGCCTGTGGCACTCAGCAAAGAGGGGGCCTAGATCCAGGTCTCCTGCGCCAAGGTGCCCTGATGACCTGTGACCGCCAGATGGCAGCATCCCTAAGCACAGGGACCTCCAGGCGGAGGAGGGTCCCACCAAGAGGGGAAGCAAGGGTTCCTCGCGTCTCAGCCTCAAAGTGCTTGAAAGCGCTCAGGGAGAACCCACGACAGGTATTGGAAATAGAGCAGGGAGCGAGAGCTGGAGGCTGGGGGCCGGGCGCCGGGGGTTTTGAGCACAGGTGCTGGGCAGAGGCTCTGCCTCTGTGAAGTAACCCAGGGAAGGGCCCGGCTTAAGGCAGAGCCCGGAGGAGCTCTGTGAAACAGAGTGCGGCTGACTCCCCGCAGTGAGAGGGGCGGGGAAGGAAAGGCGGCGGAGACCTGGTGCCCAGGAAGCCTCCAGTGTCGGGGTGGGGATGCAGCTGTTGTCACTGCGCCCATCAGGACAGAAAAACAGCATCTGGGCCTGGGTGTGGAGGCACGGAGCTGTGGATCCACGAGGGGCACCTAACCCACCAGGGATGGACAGAGCCCAGGAGAGGCCACCGGAGGGTGAGTAGGGCTCTGCTGTGTGGGAGTGGGGCCTGGCAGAGGGGGCTGATGGCGGACCCCCTGCACCCTTGCCTGGCACGAATGATGACAGCAGCGCCCAGGTGTTTGGATTTTACTGCCGTGAGGTTGCTGTGGAAGCTGTGTCCTGGCTTAGCCCACCATGAGCCACCTTGTTTAATCCTCACCGTAGTTCTGAGAAGGCTTCCGGCAGTCAGCAGTCGGCTGATTTTACAAAGGCGGGACTGAGGTGGCATTAAGTCAGCAGTTGATTCAAGACCACCCAGACACCAAGGAGCAGAGCTGACTCTGAAACCCAGGTCAGAGCCCCACGTCCTCACCCTCAACTCCTCTGTTTCATGCCCCCCCACCAGGGGCAAGCCAGTACCCCGCCTTCTTCTTGGGGATCCCCTGGAGTTGGAGCAGCTGTCAGGGTGCCCTGGCCCGAGCCCTGCTGGGGATCTGGCCCTGATGGTTTCACTAGGATGCATTTCCTCCGCTGGGCAGCCAGACAGGAAAGGGGTGGAGCCTCTGGTGCTGTTCTGGTCCTGGCCCATGGCCCGGCCCATCCCAGATTCATGGCTGAGCCTGATTTCGTTGTTACTGCCAGTTCTTCATATGTCCATCTTACTCAGTGTTAAATGCAGCAATGCCTGGAGCCGCAACGGATGCCTCAAAGAGGGGTGTCTGGCAGTTCCTGCAAACCTTGGATTTCACCTTGTGTGGGGGTGGGGCCGGCCACACAGACAGCAAGTAGCTGTCACTTAAGAAAATATATATTTTTTTAAAGGCAGAGTGACTCAGAAAGAGAGGGAGAGGATCTTCCAATCACTGGTTCGCTCTCCACATGGTCTCAATGGCTGGAGCCTGGAACTTCATCCAGGTCTCCCATACGAGTAGCAGAGGCCCAAGTACTTGCACTATCGTCTGCTGACTTTTCAGGTGCGCTAGCAGGAAGCTGGGTGTGAAGTGGAGCCGCCAGGACTGGAGCCAGCTCTCCAGGATGGGATGCCGGCGTCAGGCGTGGCAGCTTGCTCGGCTGCACCACCATGCTGGCCCCCGTGGCTCTCACTGTGGACCTCCTTGTTACCACTGGACTGGGTAGCAGGGTCTGGGGAAGGCGAGGCTGGCCGGGAAAGAGGGCCTGCAATCAACAGAACACTCATCAGACATAGCTGCTGCTTGTGATTCAGAGAGCAAAAGCCCAGCCTGAACGTGTTAAACTGCGGTTTGGAATTAAGGGTAATTCTGAAAGGAGTGCGCCGTCAACGGCAGACTTCCAACAGACGGGGAAGAGAACCCTTCGTGCGGGGATTCCTGGGGCTTCCCGGCGCCTCCAGGTGGGCGGAGCGGACCTGCCAGCAGCAGGACAAGAAACAGGTGTCCCTCTGCAGGTAGGCGGAGTCTGGTTTCAACGATGGTCAGACAGGACACCACCATCTGAGCCCTGTTCAGTGGCTTTGGTTGGTTTACACGGTCCTGCAGAGCCCTTCCACACGCAGGGGACAACGCCCCGTCGCCTCTGCCCCAGCCCCTGAGAGCCTCCCTTCCACTTTCTCTCCCTTGAAGCTGTCTTCTGGGAAGAAAGCTTGCTTCACTGACCTCTTGGTGACTGGTGCCCGCCCCTTAGCAGTGTCTAAGTTCCAGCCACATGACGGCGCGTGTCAGAACGGCTGAGCACTGCTCCCTTACAGGTAAATGCCGCAGTCTCTCTGTCTGCCAGTGCCTATTTGTGTTGCTTCTGCCTTTTAGCTAACGTGACGACTGCTGCTACGAACGCAGGGTCCCTGCTTTCACATCTTTAGGGTGTGTGTCCGGAAGCAGGCGTGCGGGGTCATGCGGTCGGTCGTCCTGTTTGTAACCTCTGGAGGACCTGCTGTAGCATTTTCCATCAGAGCTGTGCCCTTGGATGTCCCCCTACCCCAGCAGAGCACAAGGATCCGGTTTCTCCACACCCTCACCAGCACCTCCTCTCTGGCTCCTTCCCTGCTTGCCCTTGTTTGCTGACAGCTCTGTTTGTGGGACAGCGTCCTGATGGGTGTGAGAGGCTACCGCACTGTGGTTCCGATTTGCATCTCCCTACTGACTGGCGGTGCTGAATTACTTTCTCATTTGATTGTCGGCTACTTGGATGTGCTCTCCGGAGAGAAGTCTACTTGAGTCCTTTATGTTTTTATTGGCTTGTTTTGTTGTTGTTGAGCTATGGGAGTTCTTTATATATTTTGGATATTAACCCCTTATCAGATACAGTCACGCATCATTTGATGATGGGATATTTCCTTAGAAGGGTGTCGTTTGGTGGTTTTGTCCCTGTGTGAACATTCTAGATGGTGCTTACACAAGCCACGATGACTCTGACAACCCTGGGCCATG